TAGTAAAGGTCTGTAAATGTTTTAATCAGAAATAAGAAATACTGAATTTTATTTATTGAAAATCAGCATCAGATTTTTAATAAAACCTACTTTTAAATTCAACATTTCTTAGTTTATAAGTGTACTACTTTCTAGTGTTATCTTTACCTTCAAATAAATATTAAATAAACAGTGAATGGTTATGCAGTTTTGCTTAAGTAGAGGACATCAGGTTACAAAGATGTATTTTACTGATTCAAATTTCAATCAATAAAGTTATTTCATTCAGTCATTGCAATCTATCAAACTACTGAAAATCAGTCTACTGCCAATATGAGCCTTCACCATATTAGTCACACTTTCAAGGTGGGTTAGCAATTACCGTTTATAATTATTTTGCATTGTTATTAGAAAGTTGCTACTACCCATCCGTTTCAGTTTCTTTCTATCCTCTATTATTACACCAATTGGATGATATCGTCAAAAAATCGGACCGATCATGAGTAGGTACAAGACGCGTCGCGCGGTTACCAGCGCGCGAAGCGACGCATTTCCGCTCCGAGTCAACGTAAGCCAACTAGGCATGTAAGTAATTTCATGAATTAATTTTTGCAAGGGTGATCCCAATTTTAGTTACTTTTTATTATTATTTTTTTTATTTTATTTGTTAATTTTTAAAATCATGACCCCCACACTCAGATTTTCTCCTGTATAGTAGAGGCAGTTTACAAACATAAATTGCAGAAGGACAAAAATCCACCCCCAGAATAATTATTTGTAGGCCATACAATACTTGTTCCATGCAGCATTTACAACCCACGGCCTCCAGCATTGCAACTAATTACAGCTAAGCCACGGACGCATTTAAAGGAGTAGTGGATATTGTAACACCACAGCAATCAATAAATTAGTGGTGGGCAAGCATAAAATATAACAATGAAACAATTATGAAAATGCCTCAAGAAATATGCATTATAACCATTAGTACTTTTTTTAATTGGATTTTTTGTTAGCATCGCAGTGAATCTTAGGAGTTATGTAACATGGCTTGGCAACAAAATTTTACTCATTTTAAAATAGCACACAAGATGTTGACTTGTTGGTTGAAATGGGGCATTACTAAACTGATTTTTGCCAATTTTTAAATAAAACAGAATGGACATTTTGAGGTTATTTTACTTATTTTTTAAACAGAACTGAGTTAACATTCAGAGAGTAATTTACATGTCAGCAAATCGATTATAAACTAAAAACTTACTATATGAGGATACTACTAAAAAGTTACTATCAAACTTTCACCACCAGAACAAAAAAAATAGCGCTCTTTCCTAAGATTGGAGTATGACTGATCTAGGATTAGTTGTACAAATTAGTAACATCATTTGATTATGAAAATAAGCCAATACTTAAAAGCAAACCACTCTGAATTCACATTTAACAAACTACAATAATTTTTATTATAGGTAATTTCTTTTGGTTCAAAAAATAAGAACAATAAAATCATACTGAATTTTTTAATACCATGGTAGAAATCAAAAACCTTAGAAAAATTATATCAATTATAAGGTTTTAGCACATACACGAAAAATATAACAGTTATTGAAAGGAACAGTTATAAACTAGGTCAGATCACTGATGATAGAAAAAACTATACAAAATATATCTTACCAAAATCACTTCTTGTAAGGATACATTGCATAGGATGTTCTGTAGTATGTTGATTCGTGACGGCGCCAGATTCATAACAAGTAGCGCACAAATCGTAGTCGATGCAAATCAAACATTTGTATCGTCGTCCCCTGAAGTTATTTTTCAAACAAGAATCACAGCTGACTCCTGGAGAGACATAAATACCAAACAATAACCATTTTGTAATTCTTCTCTAATAACAATTAAACAAAAACGAAAATAAATTAAAGATAACAATAAAAATTTACAAAGAAATTTACAGTGACAAAAGCATCGTACAAATTTTGATTATCATTACCCACCTTCATGGCGATTCATTTTCGCCAGAATATGTCACCGAAATACACACTACTTGGCACCAGAATTACTGCTGCTATTTGAGGTATTTATATTACTAATCTAAAATAAGTAACACAACATATATTATACTAAAATACAAGATTATTAACAAAAATTTCCAAGCAAACCTAACCCAACCAGGCCATAATGACGTCACATAATGACTTAAGTGTTGCCACTTGCCAGTTGCCTATTACAGTCTCTTTGTTGTCAATAAGGAATATACCAATTACAATTTGGAATATACCTACTGACTATAGATCTTATTAGTTTGTGCTGTAGATATTACTCTCTGCCAAGAAAATGTATTTGCATTACCTAAAAATACTTTTTATTTTTGAAATAAAACATTACTTAATTATTAAAGCATCTATTAATTCGATGTGTAATTATTTATTTTATAATAATTTTAATGTTGAATAAGATCATAATATTTTTTAATGTTGCCTTTTTAAAAACAAGCTTAAGCAAAGAAAGAATAAAAAATATACAAAATCAGGCTGGCTTTTCACTATAGGATATAATATATATTATATCCTGTAATATAAATTATATCCCGCCATTCCTTTTCACACTGTGAGATATATCTTTTAACTAGTGTGCGTTCGTTATTGGTCATTGGATTACCCCGTACACCGTTCTGCGGGAACACCGGGGCGCGGAACGATGTGCGGGGTACAGAAGGCGAAATATAATATGAAAATATCGCTCGGTCGATCGAAAAAATATTTATAGCTTGAGATGTAATATATATTATAGCTCAGTGTAAACGGTTCCATATGAAATGTATGGTGAGCGATATTAATTTATATCTCGATATGTAATATATATTATATTATATCCCATAGTGAAAAGGGGCTTCAAAGATAATCAATCTGAAAATTAAAACGTAGTGCTTTAAGCCCGCTTTTCACTATGGGAAATAATATATTATATCCCGAGATATAAATTGATATAGCTCACTGTACTTTTTAATGGAACCGTTTACACTGAGATATTCATACTATAAATATTTTTTCAATCGACCAAGCGATATTTTCATATTATATTTCGCCCCCTCCACACCGCATACCGTTCCGCGCCGCCGCTACGTCCTAAAGTTTGTGTGTGTCATTACCTGAATGAACTTTTACGTAGTGCGTATACTCATTTGTATTCATAACTTTTCTTAATAGAATTCATTAAAAGGTCTAAATTCACTATATTCCTCTCTAAACTTTATATGATTTAATATCCAGTATCGACGCTCCCTGTTTTTATTTAAAAGTAACACACGTAAACCGAATTCTGCATCATCTCCCTCTGATGAACTGTCGAAGCAAAACAATATCAATTTTGTTTGAAAGGCAATTTTGTTTGTAAATGACGAGTGCGGTGTAAATGTAATCCAATGACGAACGCACACTGGTTAAAAGATATATCTCACAGAGTGAAAGCAATTGGCCAATATAATATATATTATATCTCATAGTGAAAAGCGAGCTTTCGACTCATTTTTAGTTTTTTTTAATAACTGGTTTAACGGCTCTGGGTTCTAGCCCTTCTGAGCCTGAAGTTACAATGTATAAATATCGTTCATAGTACACTGCTTCACATTATGTTGATGCGTCACATTGTGCAGCCCTTGGGAGATTTTGGACGGCAACTTGAGCCAGCAGACAGCTGACAGTTGGCGATGGTATCTCAAGGCGCCTAAGCAGACAGACACCTTATCTTAAGAATGACATCACCATTAGAGCACTTGTTTAAAATCGTCTCTACTAATAGTTCACATGCGTAGACATTTAATACACAAAATTGCACCACTTTTACATATTGTAAGATGATGTTGTGACTAAGATTAAGAAAGGAATGCTTCGGTGGTTTGGTCATGTAGAAAGAATGAATAAGGAAAGAGTGATGTTGTAGAGGTGAACGGCAGAATCGGGAAGGGATGATTTAAGCGAAAGTTTATCGACCAAATTGGCAATATATTGAAAATGGACCAAATTAAGAGTACCCTTAACCGACGAGCGTGTATGCGTAGGTATATGGATGTGGAGGAGACGAGAGAGGTGTGTCAGGATCGTGCCAAATGGAAGTCCATAGTCTCTGCCTACCCCTCTGGGTGACAGGCGTGAGTGTTTATGTATGTATGTATTTTACATATCAAAATCCACTTAAAACCATTATTTAAACAATAATACAGGAGCAGCAATCCGTCGCCGGTCCCCGTCAAAACTTATTTTATTTTTCTTCGTAATATCGATTTATAATTTGACAAATTATCATTTTATTTGTGCCATTTGCTGTAGAGACTATCTGTCCGTGGGGTCCACGTGCGGTGAAGTTCCTAAAGGAACTCCATCCGCGACTGGTCGTTGCTGCTGGTGATAAGAGGGCGGGTTTTTTTCTCGCTCAAAGGCTAAGTATAACCATTTAGCGGGGAAAGGTAGCCAGCGTTTTTGGCACGATACCGCGGGGAGTAGGACTATATGATAATTTAAGTTTCTAGTTTTAGTTTTTTTTTTATTATTATAGTTTTTAATATTGTATATGATAAAATACTTTTTATTAAAACCTTTTAGTTTGTCCAACTGTCCAAGAATTTAAATTATACTCTTTGCTTAGCAACGACATGACATTAATGTTTATGTCTTAAAGAACAAGCTACAAAGCCAAAAATATTAATAAAAAAAAATTATGACATTAAATCAAATGGCATTTACGAACAAATCGAAATTGAAATGGACATTTTTGTTTTTGATTGTAGAATTGTAACCGCTTTTTCTTTCGGTTGATATAATTCTTTATTTAATTGCATTGTAGGAATTGCAACATACAAATACAGTACGCATTTTTATTAGTATAAGTATTAAAAATTTGTATAAATTGCTAAAATCTGAAAAAGATATTTTATTTCTATTGACAAAGCTATTTTGCGCGGGAAGTCGTATTGGAATGAAAACTTAAAGTTACTTGGAGAATTAGTTGTAAATCCACAATCATTCATAATGACTGATGCACTGAGCCACCTAGTAGTTGATGGCAATGAAGTTTTGGAGTTGAAATTAGGTAAGATTGCTAAATTTCGTTTACGTCTGTACTCTGTATTGTATATGATTAACCTTATCACATTGCAGTACGATCAGTGGAAGACATTGAGGATGATGACACGAGCTTTGGTCCAGAAATGTGTCATCAAGTGTTTGGAGAGAATGAAAATATTTTTGGTTATACAGATTTGCATATCAAGCTTTTTTACAGTGCTGGAAGCCTCCAAACATACCTTGGGATAGAATATACAGATAAGGTATTATACGTTTTGTATTCTGTTATTCTCTTAGATGTTCAAAATGCAAACCATTCAGTATTCATTACTTACCTCCATTTTCCTTTGTTTATATTTTTTATTAAAACTATAATTAATTATTAATATAATATATTAAAACTATAATTATATGCACATAAATTAATTTTTCTTGATAAAAAAAAAATTTTGTTAAATACCTTCAGAGCCTATAGTTAAATGTTAGTAAAGTTGCTGTTACCTTAGCATAATTAAGGTTAGATTGACATATTCATATCTAGTTTGATTTCTAGATAATTGGTAGGAATTGCACAGTTACTGGTTTGATTATTAGAATATTATATGAAAGATTGTTATTTTTCTTCTATTCTGTAGTCATACTATTATTTAGTTGTACTGTTTCACTCTGAAAAGAAACAAATGTAAAAGTATACTCTTCATTTAAAAATGAATAGAATATAATAATAATTTTTATTGAAAAATAAAGCCTTAAACTTAATACAAAGTTATTGTAGATAAATTGTAACAAGATGGCTAGCCTAAATGACCTAGAAATAAGTTGATCCCTGACTTTCATGCTAGGGTAACCTATGTTATGAAGAAGAATATAAAGGTTTTCAATGTTTGTTTTTGTTGGTACAAGTCGCGGCACATATGTCTAGCACTGAACAAAATGTGGAGGGAATGATGAAAAGTGAATGAAAGTAAGACTAAAGTGATGGTTATTGACAGAGAAGAAAGTAAAATGATATGAAATAAGAATAGAAGTTTGTATGTTTAGGTTGTGTGTACCAGACACAGTAAATTTGGCTCTACACTCATGCACTATAATATTGTTCTGCGCAAATGGCTAGTCTTCATTGAGACTGGTTGTCGTGACTGAAATTTTGTCTGGAGGATATTGTTACACAACTATGTAGGTGTTATTTATTTCATAATTTTTATTAAATAATATTTATTATATAATAATAATAATAATACAGCCTTTATATCCCAAAACAAATAATCCTATCTTATTCAGTTTTATTATAATATATCTCTGAATTCAGTGTGCCTCTTGGCAAAGGCTTCCTGTAACGATTTCCATTGTTCTCTATCTTTTGCAACTCTTCTCCAGTTATAACCCACTGTTAATTTTAATTCGTCCTCCCATCTTTTGCATTGTCGACCTCTATTTCTTTTCCCGCTTCTGGGGTACCATTCGGTCACTATTTTGCTCCATTTATCTTGGGGGCTTCGTAGCATATGACCTGTTCATCTCCACTTCATTTGGTCTATCTTGGTGAGAATATCTGTCACACCTGTTGTTGCTCTTATGTATGTGTTTCTTTGCTTATCTATTTTTCTGATTCTTAGCATACTCCTTTCCATGGCTCTTTGACAGTGTTCGAGCATATCTCTGTGCTGCTTAGAAAGTGCCCAAGTTTCGCAGCCATAAGTTTATTAATATTTATTATGTATATATAATAAAAAGTTCAAGTTTTTTTTCGTTTGTGCATAATAAGCCCCACACTAAATAAAGAACTAAATAAAGATATTAGAATCTTTATGATGAATGTAAACTCTTTTTGTAAATGTTTGTGAAGCCCATATCTTCTATAAGTTGAAGCTTATTTTTTAACAGGCATTTCGCCTACGCTTTGCAAAAAAAAAAACTCATGGTATTTGTATTTCCATACCACATTTGTCGCATAAAGGCAGTGCTACATAAACACTTTCGAACACATCCACAACCCAGTCAGCACCGGCTGCCCCATAACTATCCCTCTTTGGGAGAGGATAACCTCGTTCTCTTTAGATGCGCCGGAACACAAGCTGCACCTTCCTCCATAGTCTTCACTTCTACCTACGCAACACACACCAGTACTCGGAAGTATCAGCCTTTCTGACAGCGACAGACCTACTTTATAGCTCCACCGCTGACCGCGTTTCAGCCTCAGAGGGTAAAAGAGAGTTGCGCATCGTAAATACCGACCCAATCCTCGCCTTCTGTGGGGCATCGCCATACTAATACTCTTCCTTCGCAACTTCAACTCTGCTGCGGCAGTATGGGGAGAGGTCACTTCCCTTCGCCGCAGTCCACCAACACATTCAAAGTAAGCTCGCCAAGCCCACACGGTGTGTTGATAAAATTGTCTACTAATGTATCTTTGACATTTTTTCTGCCCTTAGTATATAGACACATGATGGTGTGTCAGCCAAGTGCAACTAATTCAGTTTAACTATTATACCTACACACTCGTAATTTTGCATACTTAATAATGACCCCGTGTATACCTAGAATTCTAAATTTCTTGAATAAACCTGTTAATAGTTCTTGAGTTATTAATGGCCAAAAAGTGCCATGCTTAGGACTATGTATAATAACCTATGCCACTTCTAGGTTATGTTGCAATTTGGCATATACAAAGCATAAAATCTGAAAACTACAAGTTACTATCTATATTCGAGATCGAAAATTATTCATAGCAGTTATTTAAATAATAAGATCTATACATTATAGCAATGTAAACTTTCTTGGAACTTCTCTTTGATCAATTTTCTTCATTTGTATAAGTTTATTATTTTTCACTAGTATGATTTGTCTAGTGTTTTGGCACTCAGTTTTTCTGTCAAGAATTTCTCAGTAGCTGCCTGGAGTCAGGAAGTTGGAGGTGTTTCACCCCCGTGCCTCAAAAAGCACGTAAAGTCGTTGGTCCTGCGCCTGATCTCTGGTTGTGTGGCTTTACCGTCCCATCGGACACGGATTCTCTGCTTCCAGTCATCTATGCGCTCCCGCGAGTTTTTGCCCGACTGTAAGATACTGATAGTTGTCCCAGCAAACGCCATCCTGACGGTCGCACAACTCTCGGCCTATTATTTTCCGACCTGAAGCTTATCAGTCTGCTCTTTGTTTTCAATTACATGAATTCATCAATTCTTTTTCTCCGGGCTGGGATGGCGCTACTTTGTCCATTTGCGCGTTCAGCCGTGGAAAGTTTAACGTCCAACTGCGAATCCGGCGCCAAGAAGAATTGCTTCTGTTTTGCAAAGGTCCCGGCTGACTTCAAAATAGGTTACCAGTATTAGGTTCAGAGCCTTCACGACAGCCCGGTTCTGCTGGCTTAGGGGTATGTGCTTCTTTCAATGTGCTCCTCATTCGCTGTAGTTCATGGGCGACTATTCCAGCATTGTCCGAACTAACCACAACGGGAAGATCCACAAGTAGCATCCGATATTATTATTGTTATTATTTGAAATGCGAGACTTAGTCAGCAAGGAGTATTTTTTTATTATTTATTTTTTGTACTTCCATACATTAAATATTTTTTATTTTTATTTGCAAATGTACGTTTATTGTTAAGTAAGGACGTAATAGGTCTGAAACAGCTTATAATAAAAGTGTTTGTGGTAATTACATTTAATTTACCACATGTCAATTTCCAACTTCCAGATTGAACCGAGCAAATCTGGAGGATTGAAACCGGATGATGTAGAAGGAGCACTAAGAAAAGTATTGGCTCCTGGCTATGTCTCAAATTTGGATCACTTCATATCTATGTTAGAAAAGGATAAATATTTTACACCACATGGTCGTCTCTTACATTCATTTACAGTTACACCTCGTAAGTTGGTTATTTGTAATAGATACAATATGTAATAAATACACTGTCCAACTCTAAGCGGCCACATGGGTACCACAATAACATTACCAAAAAAAAAATTAAAATGTATTTTAAAATTATATATAACAATAACCATTTTTTTATTCATTAAGTATTTTAGTAATTAATATAAAAATATTATTTTTATTTAAAATGCATGTGTTTTACTACAATTTGTTTAAAATTCAACAATTTTTTAAAATTTGGCATCACCGTTGTTGGCAATGTTATTTTTAAACTTTTTTTACACAGCTGTCCGCGCCGCATGTATGTTTTATGCCATGTAACTCTCCCCATTTAATATTTTTTGTGTGGCAATTTTTTTTATTTATTCCCTTACAAGGATTACTATTTATATATTTATATATCACTGAAAAAGTTCATCTACATTACTCAAAATACTTTATAATTTATTTATGGATCACCTTTCATTACAAAATTTATTTAACAAGTGGGATGCGAAGTAAAGACTGTGTAAGAACCTCCAAAGGAAGGCAGAGTTATAGCCGAATTAAGAATTTTAAATTTTTTAGTTTTTGCCCATTCTGACTCCCTAGGAGTGTGATGAGAACTTTTTGCCCCAATTCAACCATGACCCCAATGACATCCTCTACATGATAGGCTATTCTGACTGACTAGGCCTAAAGTTCGAGTCACCCCCCAACTCATTTCTAGTCCTTACTTCCAAATTACTACACATTTTGTTAGAACAAACAGTTCTAATAAAGTGTGTAGAGCTGTATATTAAGCTCTACACATTTTATTAGAACTTTTTGTCTAATTTTTACTGTTTCAGTAATTCCGAAAAAAACATTTTTTTTCAACTCTTGCTGGGGATTGTAGACACGTAAACCTTTTTATAAAATTGTTGTGGCACATGAACTAACAGTCTACATGATGTAAATGGCTATTGCGCTCCATGACCACTCGTAACTAACTTTAAACAAAGAGGGCTACAGATGCGTTGGAGATCCTGGAGTCCTCCAAGTAATAATTTTACAGACAGAGACATTTTATCTTACTAGATCTTTCTAGATGGAATTCTTCTCAGCCTGTAATTACATTGGATCCCTTCAAATCAAAACAGTGTACGCACTGCTGCTTGGTGGTAGAAATAAGTAAGATTGGTAAATAGACAGGCATTTTCCCATATTATAGATTAATTTTCTAGGCCTCCACTACATGGAACATCAGTATTGTATTAATGTTAAAAATGCTTGTAATTTTTCGATTATTATTTGTTACTTTTCACATTATGTTTATATCAATACAAAAAAAATTATATTAAAGGTGAAGGTGGGGATAAGCGAACATTCGAAGTGTATTATAGTGAAATTTCTACCCCTGGCTTCCTTGCATACCACCAGCGTTTGCAAACTTTCCTGCTGTGGTATGTTGATGCTGCTTCTTTTATTGACATTGACGATGAGCAGTGGACGTTCTTCACAGTGTAAGTAAAAATTACATGAATTCATCAAATTATAATCACTTTGTATTATATAGTAACTGGCTGATAAAAATTCACTGCTAGACTTGAACCTCTCAATTTCCAATAGTCACCTCTAAGGAGACCCATGGGACGAAATACGATAATGTTAGAGATCGGAATGATTTCAATTATTGGTTATATTTGATACTTATGTCTCTGGATCTGGACTGCTATACAGTAATGCTCATCCAGTAACATTTGTAATATTACTGGATGAGCTTCTTGATCCTGGTAGACTGAATATATTACCTGATAATAAACCACTGGGTAAGTTTATGTGACAACATGTTATATTAACTTAGATGAGAGTAATTTTTAATATACTGTAAGAGTTTAAATGCAAGTTTTCTGAAGCATCCGTATTCTTTATGTAATTGTGAAAAAAATATATATGGTTATGATTTTACAGATTCGAGAAATACCACAGTAGCGATGGCGGTGTGCGCTATGCGACCACAGCGTATGCGACAGTATATCGTTATTATGCATATCCACGACACACTCGTCCTAGGGTGTCACAAGTACTCACACTTCCCCCTTATCGGAAGCTTGGCTTGTGTGCAGAACTGCTTCAGGTAATCCTAAAAAGCTTAAGCCTGAAGTTGCCTTTCCTTTTATTTTATTACCAAAATCTTACATTACTGTTTGTACAAACATTGCTTTATGTCCTAGACTTCAAGGAGTAAATAGAAGATAGACATATTCTTTTACAGACATCGCACAGCTGTGAAAAGCCCTCCTGTTATTTTTAAGTGGGAGATGAAGAGTTAATTGATTTGTTTGATTGCTCCCAGCAGTATCAGTTGAAATTATTTCATGATTTGAAAATCACTTTACAGTAAATAAGGGTTTCATAAAAGGATTGACATAATTTTGTATCTAATATCTATAGATTTTATGTTATTGGGACTACCAGAAGGTTTTGTCGGATTTGTTATTAAAAGTCGTGTAAAGTTCATAAGGTCATTATTTGTATTTTGTAAGTTCTCACTTTTTACCTTTTCCATCTGTCTACCAACATATAGATGCTATTCCTATAGTATGTTTTGTGAGATGACGCCCAAAATTCTTCAACATTTGCTAAACCTCACCTTATTTGTTTTTAATTTTAATTTAAATTTATTTTTTGCGAGCGAAATAGATAAAAACTGTCGGAGAAATATCTGGAGAGTAAGCATGAGCGATGAGAAGCTTCCCTTTTTTTTCATTGATTTTAGTCATAGTTTTCTTTAAAATCTGCATCCTCACATTTTAATGTATCTAACATAGTTTACATTACTTTAAGTGTTGGACAAAAATAAGGTAGCTGTTTTTAATTGCTTAGTTTTATTTTCTAAACTGTTTCTTGTGACTGCAGCAATTCATAATATTTTCTTATGATCCTTATGATTGTACCAAATCAGGTGTCTTTGGTACTATCTACTATATGAAATAAAATTTCTTTCTTAAAACATTATTGTAGACAATTTGCTTTTCATAACTAATATTTTCAACAATGTATGTCTTGTTACAAGCAAGACATGCAGAATAGACATGGAACGAGTAGTGATTCGCCGAGTACTCGGCCACCGGGTACTCGGCCTAGATTGGGCCGAGTACTCGGCTTTAAAAAAACGCGGTAGCGGACGGCGTGTGGTTATTTCCCTTACACAGAGTTAGAGATGGAACGATACGAGTAAATACAAGTAGTTACTCGATACTTTTCTTTCTATACCAACTACTTTGGGGTATAGATACTTTAAAACTTAGTACCAAGTAGTAACGAAAGAAAAGTACTTGTATCGGTACTCGATCAGTCACACACCCGGATACTGTTGATGAGTGATTACTGATTACTTGTCAAATGAGACAACTTGAGTTCATGTTCTAGAGATAGTTTTCGTTATCTGGCGCGAAAATGACTGCTTATAGAAATCGTTTTATCGGAAAACATCTAGAAAAATTATTGATCTTCCTCTCTTAAATTTTAAATATTAATATTAATAATTTTCTATTGTAGATTCATATGTAAGTTCTAAATATTTCTGCTGCTTCTCATGTTCTTGATGTTTTAATGTGTCTAATATAATAATAATGATAAAAATTGGCTTTTTGTCTTTATTTTTCTCTGGAGTATAATTAAGGCCGAGTACTCGGTACTCGGCCGTTAATACTCGGTGCTCGGCCGAACCCTAAAAAAAGGCGAATCCGCCGAGTACCGAATCCAAACCGAGTACTCGTCCCATGTCTAATGCAAAACATACTTTAACTTTGTTTACCAAGTTTTTCTCCGATAGCTTGCAACATCGTCGTTACATAATGTGATTTTTATTTGTCCATATTCATTTCGATTCAGCCATATGGACTTTATTGTTGGCAAATCGTCGGTGAGTGATGTACTTTCCATTGATTTTTAATACCTATGCTTTCCAGTCCAGTTGCTTGAAAACTTCTTTCAATTCATCAGTGAAGAGTTTCGGGAATATTACGGCAACCTGTTTTACACCTTTCTGCAGTTGGATAGGCTGCAGAAGTTATGACGCATGTAGTTTAATATTTTTAAATCATCATTCTTTATGCGAATGTGGTCTTGATGAAGGTTCCACTGATCACATATTTTTCGAATGTCCTCGACTCAACTTCTCCTTATATGATATCCTTCCCCAAAACATCCATCGTCCTACTAATTCTACCTGTCTGCTGTCTCTCGTGTTAAGTTGTAACATAAAACTAATCATTGTTGGTGGTAGAATTATAAATTTTTGTGTTGTCTTTTGTTGTAGAATAGAAGCCAATCACAAAAAAAAAAATAATAATAAACGAAACGTCGGGAATATAAAATAAGTTAATATACGCGATAAAATCCATAAAAATAAGTTTTATTTAAATTAAAAAAAAAATATAAAAAAAAGGTTTTATTTACCTTGTTGTCACTCCCATGACTGACTAACATTGGCAGAATTCTTTTAAGAGAAGCCAAAAAATAAAGAAGAAGAAGAAGAATTATAGTTGGGAGAAATCTCTGTAAATTGCTGTCAATTAGTCTCACTAAAACTCGAAAACGACTCGATCGATTTTGATGTATTTTTTGTGTGTATTTAAATGGGTCCCTTGATGATTTAGATTTACATTTGGTTGTTCGCTGTTCACCTGTTCACCATCTAGAAATCACCCGTGCGAAGCCGGGTCGGATCGCTAGTAATTGATAAATTTCTGTATGCTACCAAAACCGACATAAGTTTCTAGTTGACCCAATATTTTACACAGATTCATTTCATAAATACGTCTGCATCTTTTTGGTATGGTGTGAATTATTCAAATGAATATCGGTATATAATACTCGAAATTTTGATTTCAGTCAATATATTTACATTTTATACCACAACCCGAAGTAGTGGACATTACGGTAGAGGATCCGTCGCAGGAATTTCAGAGAATAAGAGATTATGTAGATGCCAAGAACTGTGATACTCTTCCTGCTTATCAACCGGCAAAACTTTTACAAGGGTGAGTAATAAATTGTATTTTTATAGTGTAATATATGAAAGGTTTTGTTATCTCAGATCGAAATTGATATGTCTGGTGTCTGTCCTCTAAACTCTTTCTATATCTAATTGTACCTAGTGTATATAAGCAAAAGAGTTGTCCCTCTACAGATATAAAAATAAATTTGAAAAGTGGGCATAGTTTTGTGAAATGGACTAGACTTTCATATGGTAAAACAAATCTAGCAAGTAACAGTCCATAACAAACAAAAGGAACAAACAAACACTATTGTTTTCAAAAAAAAATATCTATGAACAAATAAAAAAATAAGGCATTGTCTCTCAATACCGATCCAAATTACAAATCTTATTATATAAATAATGTTATTGTGGGTTGGATGCTTTTTTAATAACTACAATCAAAGAAAAATCTTACAACCTTCATTTTATGAAGAGATTTCATTCATTCATTCCATACACACGGCAGCAAAAATATAACTCTGTTTTCATTCACAGTTTTACACCCGAAATGGCAAATCAAGCTTGCAACAAATTTAAAATCAATAAGAAACAAGCGCGTCGTATTTACGAAATATTGCGGCTAAAGAGTACTAACACCTCAGACAAGACTGCCTACTTAAACTACAGACTAGATGTCAAGAATAGGCTCAATGCACCTTTTCAGGTCAGTTTACAGTCCTGGATATTATTGATAAATGCTATAAAATACTTTAGATAAATTTTAACTGTATTCAACTTTTTGGAACGAAGTTCCTTATCGGATGGTACGGGTTTGGCGAATGGGAGCTAGGCGACAAAAAGTGTAAGATTTTTTCGTCACTACCCCTTGTGTCATAGTGTATTTTATTTTAAATGACGCTTCATTTTAATAGATGCTAATAATTGATTTATTTATATTTGTTAATTAATCAATAATATAATATGTTTATCAATAATAATATACTATGAAAGGAACTTTGTTTCAACCGAGTGTTCCACGACACTTACGCATGTTTTTTTATAGTATAAGGGTGACAAACGAGCACACAGTCCACCTGATGGTAAGTCGATCCTGTGATCCATAAACATCTACATCTTTCCTCGATTACATATCAATATGCAGATGTGTTGTCACCCGTGAGTACTAAGATGGAATGACTCTTTTGCAGTAAAAAGGGTCACCGGTTCTCTACATTCACCATACGAAACACGGCAGCGTTAGGCTGCTATTTTACGCTGGTATTCTGTGACAGCGTGGTCCTTCCCCGGTCGAGCCGACCTATTCGTGCTACAACTATAATACTAATATAGTTGCAGCATGGCTCTGCCATGTGGTAAAACTTTAATGTTAACCGGTCAAATTTGTAGTGACCCTGCCTACACCTTTATACAGCTAAGACTAGCGATATTATTGAATATACTGTGTGTTAAATTATATTAACATAAATTAACATTATACAGAAAAAGAAATTGGAAATGAAGAAGTTGCAAAAAGTTTTAAAACCTGAAGAGTATGCAGCAACTATAAGCTCTACCGGAGCCATTGAGACACAAGGCCGCCTCGCCAGCCAGTACTTATCTTTGGAGGAAGAATACCGACGCGTCATACACAGATTGGAGCAGGATTAATATCTAAATAATCACTCACGAGTTTTGGTTATTCCGTTTATCCACCTTAAAACAGCCACCCTAAAGTACTCTGAAACGCGTATTTACTATCCACCTATGACGTGGTGCATAATCGGAATTCACTTCTGATTGTTCTTCCGACTTTTCACCCCAAGTATAGTTATATACACTTTATATATTCATACACTTTAATATATTATTCATTAATTTTTAATAACCACAAACTTAGTTGTTACTAGATCCTGGCTCAATAAAAGAAATTTTATAGTTATAAACCTTACTATTCCCAATACTGAAATTTATTTAAATACCTAATCCAATAAAAGTGTAATTGGAATTAATTGCAATAATACATTTCTCAATAAAGGATATCTCTGGAATAACGTAAATGTCACCGAATGAGAGGTACCTAATTAAACAATTGAACCTATTTCAGCTTTGGTCTTTCAAACAAAAATATGAATGTGTTTTTTATAGGTATGCTAATGTCTACTAAGTATCTTGGTCCAGTTTCTATCGTTTTTTTTAACTTATTATAAGCCAATGTTTGACTAAAATCCCACTAGGTGGTATGTGGTGATGAAGCCCTAGATGGTAAATCGCACTGTCTTCGCCTAACAAAAAATCTATTCACTTTTTGCCGTGAAGACGCCTAGATTGTAATTAGATGGAAAGAACGCCGGCAAATTATTCTACTCGCTTGATGTACGCATTACGAAAGACGTACCAAACCGTTTGGTTCGAATGGAATATCGACAGCAAAGGGGTGAAAACCCGCCGACCGGAGGTGAGAAAATAGAAAGAAAAATAATATACGAATTTCGACAGAGATGAACACGCGTTACTGAGTATCCACCCTAGATTGGCTGTTTTAGGGTGGATAAACGGAATAACCAAAAATTTTTGTTTATTTTTGGTCTGAGATTAAAATTAAAAATTCGTTTAAATAATTTTAAATAAAAAAGATAGCATCTCAAAAGTATTCAATGTTTCAAATAAATAAAAAAGCTACTCTTAACTAATTTTTTTTCATTTTTGTTTATTTATAATTCAGGTTAAAAAATCCTAAGCTAATAACATTTTTATGATGAAAAAAAGGAATTAAAATATAAATGTTTATGCCGTATCTTATTTAAGCACATGGCAAAGATGGACTTTCATTGTTTTTATTTGTGATCTCTTAGAGTTAAGATTTGGATAGTTTTGGTTTTACAAAATAACAATTCTGCAAAAAAAAACTCTTGACTTAAAAAGTTGTTTGTGCTGTGCCTTAATATTCCAATGTAATTGAATGCATAAATTATAAAAATATTATATATTTTGTTCATTATTATAATAATAACTTTTGCTGGGTCAAAAAGTTCAAACAAAAATTTTATTTTGTATAACATTTACATTTCACAAGTTATAAGTTTGCTTACGTGTTTCGAAATACCCTTTCTTTACGTAAAGTTATTTTGTGCAATGTAAATGTCTTCTTTGCTTCTAATGAATAATGTAATTTTGATACTAAAATAATTTCACATGTTTCTGTTATTAAAATTAAAAAGTGAAACAAAGATTTGTTGTTTTGTTTACTTTGGTAATGGGTTATGGATTTGACATCGATTCTGCTTTTTAATTTGTCATGGGATAGTTTCAGCAACTCCACGACTGAGAGTGTAATTTGAATCCGAGGACGTAAAAGTTACACGAGTTTAGCTCTAAAAATTTTAGCAACTTCATGATATCACTAACGATCTCAGGAATGATGACATAGACTTAGCCTTAAGCTGGCGACCCCGAAATAATATATGGATTGGACGTGTCGCCGCTTCCGCGTACTCCGTGCATGTACTGCATACAAGGTTGATGTGACGCCTATGATACCATCATCATTATTGACAGCCCTTCACAAGTCCATTGCTAAATATAGGCTTTCACTAAGGAATGCTCCATAACTTGGTTTTGAGCAACCTGCATCCATCGAATTCCTGTTTTTTGTCTCACCAGGTCATCAGTCCGTCTAGTGGGGGACAGCCCTATGCTTCGCTTGCTTACCGATACGTGACTGTCACTCAAGAAACTTTTTTCCTCATGGGTTGACGGTTCTTGGTACTATATGGCCGACACATTACCACTTCAGCTTACTGATCCGTTGAGCAATGTCGGTTCTTCTAGCTCTACTGCAAATATCTTCATTACGGATTCAAATGCAAAGGAAAAAATTGCAATTCATACAATTTTTCAAGCATTTATGACACTGTTTGAGAACGTGTCGTTCCACGTGAGGCCGTGTTAGCTGTCCTGCCGAACTCTACTAAATCTGAACCGGATCCCAGTTCTCTGACTCTAATTTCACGAATTTATGTCATAAGCATTTGAATTTAAGGTTCATATGTCCATTCTATAGAATATTGCCATAGGCCACCTTCGTATTCGGCGAGCAGTGAAATAGTTCGAACACCTTTGGTTTAGTATGTAGACGACAATTTTGGTTTGATTAAAACGTATATTATAATTTTGACATTAAAGCAATAAAAAACGAGTTGAATGTAAACTCAAGAAAAACAACTTCCTTCTGCGTGAATCCCATATCTCTGGTGCACTTTGACCTACAGGACCCAAATTCAAACTCGACCGAGCTACTACCTCAAGGTATCCACATACCAAATTTAAAGTTAATCGGTCCAGTGGAACGGAAGTTATCGTGTCGGCATACAGACTAACAGACTGCCAGCTAAAACCATTAACTTCTTTTCAATGCTACGCAGAAGGAAGTTATAAATTCAATACAGAATGATAAAAAAATTACGTAACATCCTACCCTTGGTATCACAGACCGGCAAAAGTAATGATACATTTACCTTATCTAAACGCGTCCTTGTGTCACACTGCCAGATGTGTAAAAAAAGTACATGGCCGCTCACAACCAAACAACGTAAAATGGCAGATATATGCATTCCAAAAATATAGCGGTTTCACATACCGCTGTCAAGTCGTTAAGGATTAATCAAAGTTATTTCTAATTAACATTAATTAGTCTTTGTATTCTTCATAAAATTAATTCTTTGTGTGCTGATATTTCCGCGGTTTTCTTTGTCGCTTCTTCACGAGCATTACGTACTTGTGATCGAATCTCTGATTGGACAGACTCCATTTCGAAAGCAATTAATGTAGCGAAACACTTATTTCGAGGATCGACAGATTATTCTAAAAACCCGTAATATTATGGTGATGGCGGTTATAGGGTTAATACGAATATAAATGATACAACGTGCTGTGGTGTTCTATTTAGTGCACACGCGTCAGATAGGAGATTGGTAGAAACTACAGAACTGTTGATATACGGAATAAGCTTTGGAACAACAGATGTCAAGAATATCTATCACAAAACAGACGAAACCACATCTCAGCATCTAGTGATGGGAAGCAGTATTACAAGTGCGAGGGTCCCGGCTCTGCAATCACTAACTTGGCTGCCCAGTAGTGACTTTAGGCAAATCTTCCCAAGTAATTAATGCTTGTACTACATTTTTGGCAGGCTCATGTCCAGCAGTTGAGTTTAAAAGGCTGTTCATAATGATAATGTTATATGATATTTTATTTACTTTCTTTAAAAAATGATACCATAAATACAAGAGTAATCAATCATAGTCCACCGGGATGTAAACGCATTTACATTTTGGATCTTAATCGAGAATAGAAATGTAAGTCACAGCAGTTATTATCAGGTAGTACTGTACCCGTCCTTAGCTTTATTACTATGAAATAAAAAAATAAAAGAGCTTGACCAAAGACTACAATGTTATATAGGGAAAGCTTGACGGTGGTCGCAGTATCTTTCGTTGAGACATTTTATCAATTTAGTTTTGCAATTTCCGAGATTAAAATTTGGGAAAAAAAAATTGGGGATAATTTCATAGATTAGTCAAAAATAACATATTTTTCAATGCCCAAGAGAAAATATTATGGGTGATTCCTTTGTGATACACGGTAAGCCACTTGGCGAGGATTCTGAAATGAAATAAAAGACATGTCGCTTCAGACTCCTGTATTTCAGCTGCATTACAGTAACTATGCCAGAGTTACGCGGTTTGTTGATGGAATGTTCCGGTGAAACTTGATTAAAGCTTCGCGTTTCTTTCGCAATGTCGGCTCGAGAGCTATCGCTATCCACTGAACCGCGGCCACAGATAATGTCAGTGGGAACGGGAAACTCCGTCTGCTATATAGTACATCTCGCCGAACCATTCACTGTGTTCATCCAAATACCTGTAAAAGTAAAAATTCACAAAATAACAAAGTTTTTTTGGGTAATGTGGCAGGGACCAGGCATTCCTTAATTTTAATTTGAAAATGTAGTTACTTTAATAATTGTTCCTGTAACTTGGGAGTTTTATGAACGTTTTTTTTTTTTACTTTTTAGGGTTCTATGAAAGTTCCTGACTTATCACAGAATAACAGCGTAACATATTAACTTAATGCTGCTGTGTTTCATATTGTGAGTGTAGAGAGACAGAAATCGTTTTTACTGATAAGGAGGAACTTTATATTAGTACTTAAGTTTGACAACTTTCATAATGACAACATTCATAATCTATATTGAATAAAAAAGTTTCCATTTATATTTCAAACCGAATTATATACAAAATAGCAGCTTAATATTGCTGTGTTTCGTATGGTGAGTGTAAGGAACAAAATCGCCTAAATCACTCCTGGCATTGCTCCCTTTTCCTTTTCGTGAAGTTTCACTACAATCGGTTCAGCCATTTCTACGATTAGTCCAAACAGACAGACAAATATTTACATACATATAGGCATACAAATAACCTCTGAAGTCAATAAAAGGTTATAAATAATAAACATGTATACCATTATAGAATGTAAAAAATAATAATAATAGTAATTTCGATATTACAGACAGCCACTTCAATTTTATTTATATGCATAGATTTGATTATGCCCATATGCAGCAGTGAACTTGTGAAGGACAATAATGATGATCATAATATAGATTA